CCACCCTGAAAATGCACAGCACGAGAGCATGATTATGCCCCAGCCATTTGCTGGTGAGCCATTCAGGTTGTAGGTGTGCCCAAGGACCAGACCGTATAGTCTCGACTTTGACGTATTCACCGTAATTAGAGGACAGGCACATTATGCTGGTGGAGAGCTTGGCCCTGGTAATCATCATAGACTTTCATTCACATCCAAGCTCTGCTGCCAGCCAGCGCAGTGCATTGGCAAATTAGTTGATTTCTTTGGGTTCGTGTTCATCCATAAAAGGGAAGGCATCTCCCTCCTAAAGTCTGTCCTGGAATCCGTGAGGACACGTATGAGGCAGATTAGCGCACGCAAACGTAGCGAGTATTCCATAACCGCGACGCTATTGCCATAGTAACGGACGCTATGAGCCGGGTCATTGAGAGCTAGGCCGTGTGCGGCACCCAGCTTTAAAATGAAAGGAAGAGAACAAAGAAGGCATCGTCTGTGTTGTTTGGCACCCAGAGAGGGGAAGAGGTGCTTTGCTTCCAGAATGCTTGTGTTCTCCGGGGGAAATTCCCAGGTCAACAGAGACTTATTATTCCTGCTGTCCTGGCTTAATGGGAATGTCCTTTTAAGAATATCTATCTGCCTCCTTCTGTGCACTCAGTAAGCCAGTTGTTGGTACGTTTAGTTTGTACCGAAAAATTTACTGAAAGAGCAAGGGAATGAATGAACTATTGGGATCTTCAGCACCCCCATTCTGCTGTGGAGCTGCGAGAATTCTGAGGCTTTCAAGGTCCTGTATGGGTCCAGCCACCCCCATGTGTCTATGGACAAGCCCTCCCCACCTCTGGAAGAATCCCACCGGGCAGCCAAGGCCGGCCTTCCTGGCACTGAGTTGCTCTACGTGTGCAAAGGCTTAGTAACCTGCTTTTCTCCCTTCTCTGTCTCCCCCCAGAACTCCGGAACCAGCACAGAAGCGACATATATATAAGGAGGTAAAGTGCCACTGCTTCCCTAAATTCCCCCTACTGCTTGCCCTGATAAGAGAAGGGAAAGAAGGCCCCTTCAAGCTCCCCTGGCCTGGATCCCCTCGGCCTCCCCACTTGGCCTCCCTGAGGCTAACTCCTTCACTGTCCCAAGTCTGGCTTGCACCAGGCAGTCCAGAGCCCTCCCTTCACGAGAGAGAGCGAGTCGCCCCTGCAAGAGGCTGGGACTTAGTTGGTGCTACCTGGGCTGGCTGTGTGGTTTCTTCGACATCATGCCTCTTCTTTCTCCCAGTGGTGTTAAAAGGTGATGCCAAGAAGTTGCAGTTATATGGGGTAAGTTGCACTGGGTAGCGTGGGGGGGACCCCAGCTGGAAGACAGTGGCACCTTTCTCCCAGCTCTGAGCCTCGACCCTTCAGAATTCTCCTAGCCCCTGCCTCCTATCTCTTTGGCCAAGTAAAAGGACTCACCGCGGCAGGGGATCATGTATGGAATTCATTATGTCTTCACCTGCTTGGGCAGAAGACATGAAGGGTTGGATAAGCATGACAGGACACGTGGGCCCAGGAATCTGGCAATGTGTAGTGCCTAAGGGAGGATGGACACAGCACTGCACGCCTCAGACAGATTGCAGCTGGCTTCCCCGTGTCAGCTCCTACATCCCAGTTCACTAAAATCAATAACACTAATAATAATAATAATAGTCTTTTACTCTGGAGTATACTCCATCCTAACAGCTGTGTCTGACTAGTGTGCGTTCCGCGTCCTTCCCTGTTTGCCCTCCTTTTCCCACCAGCCTAACTCGGCTCTGACCTTTAAGAGCTAGCCCACTTCCTATCCCTCCTACTCTGCCACGCCTTTGAGGTCACCTAACCCATTTCCCAAAGCTTCTGTCCAGAGCCACAGACACTTCCGAATCAGGGCATGTCTGTGTTGTCTGGGAGCAAGGAGGATCGCCGGGGTGTCTCTACCTTGGACCGCGTAGACGTGGCCTCGTTTCTCCGCTTATATCTCTGCAAGCGCGGTGTTTAAGCCTCTTGTAGGAGAGCCATTCAGCCTCGATCGAGGGGGTTAAGTAATAGAGACAAGGAGGTTAATGTATAGAGACTAGAGTTCTTGGTTTAAAGAATGTCACTGACACGCACACCGTACCCCATTTTACTTCTGCTATTATTTAGTCCCTCCTTGTCCAAATGTACTGGTTAGAAGGATTCGAAGCCATTCCTCTACAGCAGCACTGTCCTAGGGAACATTCTGTGTAATGATAAGTGTTCGTGTACTCTTGCTGTTCGATATGAGAAGCGTTAGCCACGTGTAGCTATGAGCCCGAAATGTGGCAAGTGCAACTGAGAACTAAATTTTTTGTTTTTATATTCTTTTTTTTTTTTTAAATAGAGAGGTCTCGTCATTGCTCAGGTTGTTTGAACTCCTGACCTCGAGCAATCTACCGCGCTCGCCCCAAGAGCTAGGTATTACAGGCGGTGAGCCCAGCGCCCGGCCTAAATTTTTAATTTCATCTATATTTGTTGGTTTATATACATTTAATAGGCAGCCGCAGGTGGCTCACTCCACGCCTGTAGATCTAGCACTCTGGGGAGGCCGAGGCGGTAGATTGCTCAACTGATGTTGAAGTACTCTGAGCAAGATGGTGAATGATTTCCCCGTCCTCTACTAAAAATAGGAAGAAAATTAATGGCCAACTAAAACTATATAGAAAATAATGCCGGGCATTGTGTGGCACATGCCTGTAGTCCAGCTACTCTGGAGGCTGAGGCAGGAGGATTGCTTGAGCCCAGGAGTTTGAGGTTGCTGTGAGCTAGGCTGAGGCCACAGCTCACTAGCTTGGGCAACAGGATGAGACTCTATGTCAATTTTTTATTTTAATAGCTGCATGTGGTTGGTGGCTACCACATTGTCAATGCAGTGTTCTAAACTACGGCTAAAAGTTTCTCTGCCGACAGAAGGGATAGGGCCGGGGCTTGCTTTGCTTGGTTGGGGAGGAGACGGCGGGTGTTCAGGATGGGCGAGTGTGGTGCCTCCCCGGCCTCCTCTCTCTCTCACATGACACGCCCGACTTTCTCCCCACAGCAGACCTGTGCGGTCTGTCTGGAAGACTTCAAGGGGAAGGACGAGCTGGGCGTGCTCCCGTGCCAACACGCCTTCCACCGCAAGTGAGTGGGGCTGCGTCCGGGTCGCCCTTGGAAGGGGGAGTGATCAGGGAGCATCGTCTGCAACCTCCCAGTCCCTGCCGCCTCCCACTCACCCCTCACTGGGGACACCCCGTGTCCTGTCTGGGGGCACCAAGCGAGCGAGAGGGGCAGGGAGGTGGAGGCAGGGATGGGGTATTCTCGTTCTGAGAAGCAGCTGCAGAAGTCTGGGGCATTGTCCTTAGCGATCACAGCTCCTCCTTCGTTCGCCCTCAGGTGTCTGGTGAAGTGGCTGGAAGTGCGCTGTGTCTGCCCCATGTGCAACAAGCCCATCGCCGGCCCCTCCGAGGCCACCCAGAGCATCGGGATCCTGTTGGATGAGCTGGTGTGAGCGCGGCCTCTGCACCGAGACCTGGAGAAGACCTCTTGCCGCGTGGGTGCCTGGTCCCTCTGCAGGCACGGCTCCCAGGAACAGAACTGTTGGGGGGTGACGGTTAGTTACCCCCCACAGAAGGGCAGGCTGGTGCAGGGCTGGGCTTCCGCCGTCAGACTTGCCCCACCTCCTGCCTCCTGACGCCTTCCTCCCTGCTCCTCAGTCCTGGTGGCATCAACTCCGAGAGACCACACTGGATCCTGGTACCAGACTGTCTACCTGCCTGGTCCCTGCTCTGGGGGGAGGAGTTCACCCCGGTCAAGAGCATGCAGAAAACCCCTTTGAAGGTTCCCACCCCCACGCAGGGAGGTGGGAAGGAAAGATCAAGGAACCAAGTGCCCCCCACCGGAGGTGAGGGAGGCTCTGTGTGGAACAGACCAGGAGCAGGGACATCTCAAAGGAGAAAGTCAATGTTTACATGAGACCCACGGAAACAAAGGCCGCTGGCGGCCGGCTGGCTGCAGGGTAGCAAAGGGGCAGCCCCGTGCCCTGCCAGGACCCGAGGTGCTAGCCCATCTCTCTCTTCCTCAATCCCAGAGCTTCCTATGCCATGTGGGGGGGCGTTGTGGGCCCCTCTAGAGTAGGGGCTTGTTCCACACTCAAATGGATTCCCAGGGGCTTTTTCTAAAGGATCAAAAGGGGCCTGGGGAGGAGGGTGTCTGAGGTTAAGCTAGCAGCAGATACCTTCTTCCCCTTTGTAAATAGTATTTTTGTATTTTGTTCTCACCATCTCAGGATTTATATATCCATCCCCAGCATGGGGGGAGGGAGGGGGACCTTTCTGTTTCCTCCCTGGAGTGGGTGAGGGTGGGAGAAAGTTACGTATTTAAAGAATTAAATTTAACAAGTTTCTCTAACCTACTTTTGCCTGTGGTTGTGGCCAGTTGACCCTTTTCTGCCAATGGCAAAAAGAAATTTCTCTAACTGCTTCCTCTCACTTCCTTACACCCAAATCAAACATCCATATACAAAAGTTCCTGAGAATAAGCTTCCATTCTTGCAGAAGCGAAGGGAAGCGGGTATCACACGGGAAGAGGAAGGAAGCAAGAGAGAGAGAAGAGAGGGAAGGAGGGGGAAGCCAGGCTCTTTTTAACAGTCAGTTCTCCAGGGCACTAATAGAGCAAGAGGAGAACTCATTCATTACCATGAGGATGGCATGAAGCCATCCACAAAGGATCTGTCTCCATGACCCGAACACCTCCCACCAGACCCCACCTCCCACACTGGTGATCAACCTTCAACATGAGACTTGGCAGACCAAACAGACCACAGCCAAACTATAGCAGGAACATAGAGGCCTAGAAGATTATTTTTTAAGTTCAAAATATTATTAGGTGGGTACAAGTTTGTGTTGCAAACATTTTGCAATGCTTAAGTCGAGGCTTCTACTGTGCCCACCGCCCAAATTGTGTTCATCGTGCCAACAGGTATGTGATTAGCCCTCCCTCCTTGATTTCCTGTGACCTATGTCTCTTTTGTGCCCAGGGAGATTTTGAGCTACTGAGCACTCTTCCCAGTCTTCACTGCTCTCTCCATTGGCGCTGACAACACGACATTTTTTTTTTTAATCCACTTTTCGAGAAGCCTCTCCTATTCCTTTTCTCCCTCTTCCTTTCTTTACCCATTTTTCCTTCATCCCAGCTGTTCTCTGCTCTTGCTGAGAGCACCAAGCCACTGCAGAACCCCTCCCAATGGGCCAGGATTGTCATGCGATGGCAGATTGTCATGCGTGTTCCAAGGACACTCAGATGACCAAGGATTTACACCCAAATCATAGTGCAACCCTCCACAGAGACAACTCCGTTTCTGGTGCTTGCTGTTAGGTATGTCCATTATTTCTCAGGAAAGTGGCTGATACCTCAAGTTCAGGAACAGAAGCCATGGTGACTTTGATACAAGGTGGGGGCAGCCAATTAATCCAAACCCAAATGAAGGAAAAACTAGATTTGCTTAAGTGTCAGAGAAATCAACCTGGAAGCCATGTGGATGTCAGGTCGGACATAAGTCAGAAAAAACAAACAAATCCAAAATGCGGCGATTTTATCTGTGTTTCCCAGAAAATAAGACCTACCCATAAAATAAGCCCTAGCAAGATTTCTAAGCATGTGAGCAATAGAAGCCCTACCCGAAAATAAGGCCTAGTGATGGGTGTGGCTATGCAGTGTATCTGCACAACCCAAGCATTTCGTCGGTCCTGGAGTGGTAAAGAAGACGAGCAGCCCTTCTCATCTGCCCCATGAGAGCTCTACTGCTCGACATGAGAGATGGGCCAGTGGTTCTAAAGGAAATAGAGTCGCAAGAAATTCAGGATGGAATTCGGGGTTTGGAGAGTTATGATGATGTTCTAGAAGAAGACGACTTAACTATATTGAATAAATGTAGATTGTTGTACCTTACTTAAAAAAAAAAAACACATCCCCTGAAAATAAAGCCCTAGGGTGTCTTCTTGAGGAAAAATCAATATAAGACCCTGTCTTATTTTCGAGGAAACATGGTTTGTGCCAGGAATCATCTTTCTGCCTTCTTCAATATTGACCAATTTTTTTACTGGATTCTTTTATTAGTCAGTTTTTTTTATGGCAGAAAACCAGAGAAGCTATAAAAAGAAAAAAAACCATAAGGAAGAAATTGGAGTATTTTACATCTGTAGGGTAAAGACCAACAGGCAAGCAATTTAGCTGTGGTCTTCAGGATTAGGTTGTAAGCATGAATCTCCATCACAAAGTCAGATGTTCTAGAAGTTATTGTTTTCTTTTCTTTCCTTTTTATTTTTTTGGGACAGAGTCTCACTTCTGTTGGCCCAGGCTAGAGTGAGTGCCGTGGCGTCACCCTGGCTCACAGCAACCTCAAACTCCTGGGCTCAAGCAATCCTCCTGCCTCAGCCTCCCGAGTAGCTGGGACTCCAGGCATGGGCCACCATGCCCGCTAATTTTTTCTATATATATTAGTTGGCCAATTAATTTCTTTCTATTTATAGTAGAGACAGGGGTCTTCCTCTTGCTCAGGCTGGTTTCGAACTCCTGACCTCGAGCAATCCTCCTGCCTCGGCCTCCCAGAGTGCTAGGATTACAGGCGTGAGCCACCGCGCCTGACCTGTTTTCTTCCCTTTAAATTTCCTTTGACCCTGAGCCACCAACCTTCTGAGATAATGGGAAATCCACACTCTGTCTGCAACGCCATCTTTCCTTCCAGAAATATTCATGCATCTCAGAGTCTT